ATCGTTCTAACAATCACACAGAACATAAACCATATAGGAAAGTAGCTTTCCAAGAAAAATATAGTGGAACATTTAAATGTCATAATTGTGGATCCAGGGAACACAATAGAAGAGATTGCCCAAAATTCTTAAAAGAAAGATATAGATCAGAATACAGAAACAAATACGATTATAGACAGCCTTCCATAGAAAGGCATAGATATAGGAGCCCACCAAATCACAGAGAGAATAGAGGGGCAGAGGGCAGAGACAATTCAAAGGATAGAAAGTATGGTTCACTGAATGGATTAAATAAACAAGACAACACTAACACACAACAAAGTGAGAACAATAATTGGCTTATTGATTCTGGAGCAACTAATCACACCACTAATAACAAAAGTATATTGTCTTCATTTGCAGAAGATAAATTTGTAATTAAGGTAGCTAACCAAGAAAAGGTTCAAGTATTAGGTAGAGGAAATGTAACCTTGCCTGGTTTAGGAAAAATAGAGGGGGTATTACTAATACCTGAAATACCTCATAACATATTAAGTGCCATAAAACTAAGCAGAGATTCTGACATTAACATTGTCTTTTCAAAAGGAAAGGCAACTTTGGAAAAGAATAAAATAAATGTAGGCACTGTGGTGACTAAAGGAGGACTACCTTACCTAATAACAAAAGAAAAATGGTTACATAACATTGATTCAAATATGGAAGATTGTATTAAAATAGATGATGAGAATGTTAGCAACAGTGACAATGATGAATGTAAAATATCTCATGATCACACAGATGCACACAACGATAAGAAGCCAAAGATAGGTAAACCAATTCATGATGAGTGTGCTCACATATTGCATAGGAAGTTAGGACATGCCAGTTTTCCTGTAGTGCAAAAAATGACTGAACACGCAGAAGGTGTTAAAATAAAGAATTGTGAAAATTATCTGGAATGCTCAGTATGTAAATCTACAAAACTAAAAACTAGTCCCAGGCCAAGAAAATCTACCAGATCAACTAACAAAATTTTTGATTTAGTACACATGGACTTAGTTGGTCCATTAACTCCATCAATCACTTATAGGAAACGTTACTTCCTGACAATAGTGGACGATTATAGCCGCTATGGATTTGTTTACACATTAAAACACAAAGATGAAACATTTCAAAAATTTAAAGAATTTTACAAACGCATAGAAACACAACACAACATCAAAATAAAACAAATTATGACAGACAGAGGATGCGAATTCATGTCTAAAGAATTCTCACAATGGTTTAAAAGACAAAGGAATGTTACATTACACATCTAGTCCATTTTCTCCGTTCCAAAACGGGATTGCAGAGAGAAAAAATTCCACATTACAAACCATGATTAGATGCACATTGGAAGATGCTGGCTTAAGCAAACAATTCTGGTCAGAAGCCCTACATTATTCAAATTACACACAAAATAGAACATGGTCCAGCATTATAAATAAGACACCATATGAAGTGATGTATAATAGAAAACCAAAATTAGCACACATGCATATATTTGGAGTCACAGCAGACGTACACATACCTAAACAATTAAGAAGAAAGGGAGAAAATGTGTCCAGGAGACTCAGATTTATGGGATATGAGACTGGCACTAAAGGATACAGATTCATTGATAGTAACAACAAATTTATAGTCTCCAGAACAGCTGTGTTCCATGAACAAGCTAACTGGTCTAAATTACATCTTAATGAGATATTCCCAAATAAACATGAAGATACAAAATCTCATGAGAAAGGGACTATAGAAAAACAAAATATCAACAAATATAAAAACAAAACCAAAACTTGGACAAATAGCCAACTCAAAATAAAGACAGACACACTAACAAAAAAGGAAGCAAGATATTTGCATGGTAACGATAGTAAACCCGAGAAAATCATTAGAAACACCAGAAATCAAATGCCAAATAAATACAAGGATTATGTAATGCACATGAATGGTGAACCAACAACACCCAATACATACGAGGAAGTGTTAAAACTTCCTCACGAAGAAAAAGAAAAATGGGAATTAGCAATGAAGAAAGAGATGGAAAGTTTACAAGGACTAAATGTATTTACACCTGCATCTGCACCTAAAGATAAGACAATTATTGGTACCAGATGGATATATAAAATTAAGAATTTAGAGGGAGGAAATACTCTATACAAAGCTAGATTGGTTGCACAGGGTTATGCACAGAAATATCCAGAGGACTATACTGACACGTATTCCCCCACTGTAAGAACAGAGAGTGTCAAAACAGCTCTAGTGGTAGCTTCAGCACTCAATCTAGATGTATTCCAATATGACATACAGACTGCGTACCTACACGCAAAATTAGATAAAGAAATATACGTGAGAGCACCTCATAGTCCATACACAAACAGAAATGAGACTTGGTTGTTAAACAAGAGTTTATACGGGCTAAAACAATCTGGTAAACGGTGGTATGATTGTTTAGTAAAAGTACTTAAGACCATGGATTTCAACGCTACCACTGCTGATAATTGCTTCTTTGTCAAGAGGGGTGATGATTACATTGAATTTGTATTGATTTATGTGGATGACATTTTATACATAGGAAAACATAAAGAAAGAAGAGAAACTTTTGTAACTAAACTAAATGAACATTTCTCATTGAAATCTTTAGGCAAGGTAAACAAATACCTTGGTGTCCAAATTAATAAGACAAAAAGGGGATTCAAACTTACCCAGAGAGATAAAATCATAGATCTTTTAAATAAATGCAACTTAAACAATGCCAAACCTTGTGATACCCCTATGCAAACTGACTTTCTAAGGAATTCTGATGAATCTTCTCCCGAGTTCAAGGACAATACATTCTATAGATCAATCATAGGTTCACTCCTTTACATATCTAATTGGACTAGACCGGACATCGCTTTACCACTCAATTTATTATCTAGGCATGTCAGCAAACCAACAATGTACCACTGGGAAGCTGTTAAAAGAATTTTAAGATATTTAAAAAGTACACTAGACTTTTGTTTAATGTTAGAACCTAATGATATTAAAGAACCAAAGCTTACGTGTTATGCAGATGCAGATTGGGCTGGAGACACCTCATGCAGAAAAAGCACATCCGGTTATGTATTTCTCTTAAATGACTGTCCAGTTTACTGGTACACTGGTAAACAAGAACTAGTGGCTACTTCAACAACAGAAGCGGAATATGTTTGTTTATCCAAGGCCGCAAATAATCTTGTATGGTTTAATGATTTAATTTCAGATGTCTGGAAAAAACCTGCTCTGCCTTTTGTTATGCATGAAGACAATAAAGCAGCCATTGAAATATCTAGATCTGATGCCATTGGACAAAGATCCAGACATATAGATATAAAATTTAAACATGTGAGACAATTATCTCAGGATGGATTTATTAAAGCAGTGCATTGCGACACTTCAGAACAATTAGCTGATATATTAACGAAGCCTTTACCTTCTAAACAGCATAAATACTTAACCTCTAAGTTGTATGTTTTGTATTGTCCTGAATCTGAATGTAACTGGTGTTGTATAACGAATCGGCATTTAGAGGGGGATTTGTCAGATGTAAATGCCTTATTCTCCAATGTGTAAATAGTGTACAGACAGGGTATCAGGGGTTAACTTATTCTTCACTTCTTAATGTATTCATAATTCACCACTCCCACATATAGCTCCACCCATTGTATATATAAGGAGCTACCTACACCATTTCCCTTGCTTCTATCTGTGAAATATTCAGTGAATATAGAATGCCTAATGTAAATAAAAGAATATATATTTAAATCTTTAACTCTTATTGATCTTATTGAGTCTGATCCTGAAAATATTGCAACAGCTCGGTTTGAATTAATGCATTGTGTGAACTTGGCCGTTGTAGCTTCTGAGCCAAAAATGTATAGCTTAGCGCCATGTTTCTAAACCTTCGCAGCTTTAAGATTTGTGGACTTCAACTCCCAGAATGTGCTGGCTGGGGAATTCTGGGAGTTGAAGTCCACACGTCTTAAAGTTGCCAAGGTTGGGAAGCACAGGCTTAGTGCTCTGACACAGTGCCAATCATTGTAAGAATAAGAATAAGAATAAGAATAAGAATAAGAATAAGAATAAGAATAACAATAAGAATAACAATAACAATAACAATAACAATAACAATAACAATAACAATAACAATAATTTTATTTCTATACCGCCCTTCTCCCGAAGGACTCAGGGCGGTGTACAGCCTATTTAAAAACACAAGACAAACATCAGTTTAAAATAATTAAAATTATTAAATGAATTCGGCTCAATTTAAAAACCCCAGAAATTTAAAATTGTATCTAGCAAGCCATATCTTTAGCAGGATGCACGAATTAGGATGCACAAATATCACACAGACACGTAGCAAATGACCCTATAATTTACAGATAGTCCTCAATTGCAATCACTTATTTAGTAACCATTCACAGCAGTGGTGAAATCCTCCGTCGGTTGCCACTGGTTCGATTCCTGCGCATATGCAGTGCATGACAGATGCATGCTGCACATGTACCATACATGCCGGACACATGCTGCACATGTGCATGTACAGTGCATACCAGATGCGCGCTGTGCACGCATGCACAATCCACACCAAACACGCGCTTTTGGATTTCCTGGAGTTTTTTTTTTTTTTTACTTTTTTAAAGCTACCGGAACCGGTAGTTAAAAATGTTTAAAAAGTTAAAAAAAAAAAAAAAAGTTCCAAAGATCAGCTGTGCAACACGGCGATCAATGGAACATTTTTTTAAAAAAAAACTTTTTAAAGCATTTTTTTACTACCAGTTTGGCGAACTGGTAGCGTTTTTTTTTTTACAACCAGTTCAGTTGAACCGGCCCGAACCGGTAGCATTTCACCCCTGATTCATAGCGACTTGGCCATGGTAAGTTGTCCTTAGACAGACACCTCTCCAGACTTCTTTAAAACATTCTCCCAAATAAAACGGAGAAACTGAGGCACCACGTACGTTTGCAGTGAAGGTTGTCATCCTGATAGAATCCCAGGGAACAGGCCGAGAGGCACGAGCCAGCGTGAGAAAGGACGAGGCTGGCGTCACAGGAAGTGCAGGAAAATGGGCCTTCTCCTGTACAGGTTTTACAGGAAGGATGGCACTCTGGAAGGGAAGGAGGAGACAAAGGCATTTAAACGCAGACTCTCAAACTCCCTGCATAGGTAACAAGAAATGTGTTGGACACGGAAATGAATGTTCGAATCTCCGCCCAGCCACGAAATCGCGAGATCTTGTTCTTTAAACTATCCTCACATAATTCTTGCAAATATAATACTGTATATATGGTTAGGAGCAGTGCTTGCTAGAAAACTGAGCATATTTAATAAAAAGTATTTTGGCAAGGAATAGAAGGTACAGCAACTTGGCTGAATCCGAAGAGAATAATATGAATGATGAATGTCGGTAGTCCTCAACTTACGGCCACAATGGAGCCCGACATTTCTGTTGCTAAGTGAGACATTTCTTAAGTTGAGTTTTGCCCCATCTTACGACCTTTCTTGCCACCGTTGTTCAGTGAATCACTGCAGTTGTTAAACAAGTAACACGGTTGTTAAGTGAATCTGGTTTCCCCCTTGACTTCGCTTTTCAGGTCGCGAAATGTGATCGCATGGCCCCCAGGACCCTGCAAATTATCGTAAATATGAGTCAGTGTCAAGCATCCCAGTGTTAATCATGTGAGCATGGGGCAACGGTCATAAATGTGAAAAATGATGATAAGTCACTTTTTTCAGTGCCATTGTAACCGAAAACAAACTGCTCTTATGTCGATGACTGCCTGTACCATACTCGGTTGCTCTTTTGTAAATATTTGTTAATATTTACAAAATGTGAGGGGTGTACTCACTTCTGTAACACACTGTATGAGTCCAGGTAGTCCTCGACTCACAACAGTTCGTTTAGTGACCGTTTGAAGTTACGACGGCACTGACAAAAGTGACTTATATGACCATTTTTCACACTTACAACTGTTGCAGCTTCCCCGTGATCACGTGATCCAAATTCAGATGCATGGCCACTGACTCATATTTATGATGGTTGCAGTGTCCCCAAAGTCGTGTGATCCCCTTTTGCAACCTTCTGACAAGCAGAGTGAATGGGGGAAGCCAGATTCACTTAACCACCTTGTGACTAATTTAACAACCGCAGTGATTCACTTAACAACGGTGGCAAAAGAATTTGTAAAACGGTGCAATATTGTGAATTTATTGTTGTAAACTGTCTTAGAGTTGCTGTGAACAAATAGGCAGCTGTATAAATTTTCTGGATGGATGGATGGATCAAAAACTGTCTCAGTAATAGAAATTTTGGACTCTATTGTGGTCATAGGTCAAGGACTATGTCAGATAGTCCTTGAATGGACTGGTGTTATCTGGATAGCCCAGATAACACCCCCAAGAAAGAAAACTCCAAGGTTTGAATTTCCTCAAAGCTACATTTTATTAGAGATGTCATATTGGCACATTTGGGAAAACCCGAATCTAAAAGTTTCCAGATTTTTCCTACCCAAAGAAAAGTTCAAGTCCCTGCCCAACAGGATGGATAAAAATCAATGATTTTTTTAAAAAAAATCAAAAAAGTCAGATTTTTTTTATTTAAATCGGATTTTTTTGATTTAAATCGGATTTTTTTGATTTTTATCAAATTTATTTTAATAAAAAACTTTTCTATTTAAGATACATAAATAATTTAGTTTATTCAGCACGAAATGGAGCTTAGTTATGTAGCATGAGGCTGTACATTCTGCAACACTGGGACTATCGGTGAGTCAACAGTGGGTCAAAGGAGTAGCAGAGATGACAGTTGCTCTTTAAAAATTATGATTTAAATCGAGTTGATTTAAATCAAGCCTTTTTACTAGTGATTTAAATCATGATTTAAATTGTGGTTTAAATCAACTCGATTTAAATCAAATCCACCCTGCTGTCCAACACCCACAAGTCCATCACATGGTCCAATCAAACCACCGTCCCAATTGGAGATGTCTCCCAGGTCCAGCCTCCCAGGCGCAAGGCAAGATGGCCTTGACTTTCTGAGAAAGGAATGTTATTATGACTACACATCACCCCTGCTCCATACAATCCCCCCTCCAATCTTCCCACAGCAGTAAATGTGGCAGGCCTGAAGGCCCAATTCAAAAGATGGCTTCCAGGCCTGACAAACTATCGGGCTCCAGCTACCAGCCCTGGACGACATCTTCGCATCTCGCTGTTTGAGGAAGTTGCATAACATTCTCAAGACACTCTTCCCATCCTGCTTACAATCTTTTTGGACTGTTGCCTTCTGGCAGAAGATACAGAACAATTAAAACTCGGACCACACATTTTCTGAATAGTTTTTATCCCAGAGCTGTAATTGCACTCAACAATGAACTAAAGGGCTACCATCAGTGAGCTGTTGGGTAGCATTACTTGGTCTGTTGTGTGGATGTTTGGGTGGTTTAGGGGTGGGGAATTTGTGGTGGGTGGGAGTGTTTGGCGATTATTAAGTATGTTGGACCTGGTCTTTGGATGTTAAGTGAATTTCGTTGTATGGGTATACTGTGTATATACATACGACAATAAAGTTATTGTTATTATTATCTCTGCATCCCTGTGCCATTATCTTTCTTTCTTTCTTTTCTTTTCTTTTTTTTTTATTAAATTTATATACCGCCCTACTCCCGAAGGACTCAGGGCGGTGAACAAGCACAAAATAAAATACATAGATACAAAAGTTAGAAACATAATTAAAACCAGATTAAATAATTTAGCCCAAGACAATTAAAAATCCCAATAATTTAAAACAAATTAAAATTTCGATTTAAAAGAATTTTAAAACAAGGGAGAAAATTAGGCCAGGCCGGCTTGCTGGAATAGGAGGATCTTAAGAGCACAGCGGAAAGTGCGCAGATCCAGGATCCTCCGTATCTCCGGGGGGAGATCGTTCCAGATAGTGGGTGCCCCTACAGAGAAGGCCCTCCCCCTGGGGGCCACCAGTCGACATTGTTTGGCTGACGGCACCCGGAGGAGCCCCTCTCTATGAGAGCGTACTGGCCGGTGGGAGGCTGCTTGTGGTAGTAGGCGGTCCCGTAAATAACCAGGTCCTAAGCCATGGAGCGCTCTAAAGGTGGTGACCAAAATCTTGCTCCCTTACAAGGTAGAACACAAAATGTATCAACAATAACAATTATTGTGATTACAGAACGGGCAGCCACTCTGTCTGGCTCTGCTTTTGTTCTCTTTTAACATTACCTTGGGTTAATTGGATGATTATTAATTACAGTTTTACCCAAAACATTATAAATGTAGTTTGTGCCCAATCCGTGATTAGAATGTCTCAATTCACTCTATCATCTCTGCTGGCAGTGAGAATAGAAACAGAGGAAAAGATAATGGCAGCTTTCGGATTCTCAATTATCTTCCTTTAAAACGCTGCCAAGTTTCCCAGGTGCGTGCTTGGATCCTGCTTGAATTAAGGCATGTTTATCTATTTACTTATTTTTATCCTACTTTTCTTATTTTTAGAAATAACTCAAGGCGGTGAAAATGCCTAATGATCCTTCCTCCTATTACACGGGTAGTCCTCGAGTTACGACGGTAATGGCACGCCACAATTAGGGTTGTAAGACGTGAGGGTTATAAAGAGTAACCAGACCTGATTTTATAACTTTTTTTTTTTTTGCAGAGTTCGCGAAGCAAACATGGCAGTCGTAAAGCAAAGGCTGCAGTCATTAAATGAACTTAGTGGTCGCTATGGGGCAGGCAGTGTTTGATGGAAACCGGAAATAAATTTCCAGACAAAATGTTATAAATTATAGTCGTGTGGCCCGCAGGATGCTGCAAGCAACCATAAATGTGATCTGGGAGAGGGGGGGGAGGTGACGTTCAAACTTCAAATCCGTGTTGTAAGTAGGGGAGGGTTTGTTGTCGTAACTTCGAACGGTTGCTAAGTGGCCGGTTGTAAGTCGAGGACAACCTGTTGAGAACTACCCATCACTCCGATGCAACCATTTATACATGGAAGGAGTGATCTTCAGCCCAAATTTTTCCAGTTTCACTCCCTCTAGCTCTGTTGCGACTATGGGATCCAGAATTCCCAGGCAACATGGCTGTCAGGGTGGCAATTAATCCCATTCTGCTTTTGGGTAATTGCTCCTTGATTTAGAGAATGGATCGTGACCTCCCCTTGAAGTATACTTTTAAGAAAATAAACCCGAAGATATATTTTCTAAGAAAAACTCATTTATTTGTTATAAAGAAAATAAAACATCTTACTAGCTAATTAATTACATCTTGGCAAAGCTTTCCCGGTCGCCTCTCCTGGCCGGAGAACAAAGGAAGTTAGAAGAAAGAAAGAATGTGGACATGCGCAGTAGTTTAGAGATAAGAACTTGGCAAGCTATGGTAAGACTGAAAGTTCAAAAATAAGAGCTCATCTGGTAAATAAAAAAACGCAGTGACAATAGCACAAGAATAGACATTCTGTGGGCTGCAGCCCCCAATGCATTTGGAGGCTTGCAGGACTCAGTTCGTGGCTGGAACTGTTCAACTGGACTTCATTGAATGGGTTAATAGGAAGGCAAAGGATGCAAACTGTCAGTGGACATGCTGAGAGAAAAGAGGAAGTCTTGGAAGAAAAAAGTCACCTCTTTATCTTTATTTATTTGTATCCCACCTTTATTGTTTTTATAAATAACTCAAGGCAACAAACATATCCGACATACCTTCCCCCTCCTATTTTCCCCACAACAACAACCCTGTGAGGTGAATTGGACTGAGAGAGAGGGACTAGCCCAAAGTCACCCAGCTGGCTTTCATGCCTAAGGCAGGACTAGAACATAAATGGTACTCAGCATGTACCACGCACACACACCCACAAATGGCCCGGAGTTAATAAGCCACACGACAAAACTCTTTGATGATAAAGCTGGCAGCAACCTAGTGGCTAGCTGCCAATTCAGACTTTACTCACACAAAACAAAGATTAGACTGCAGCATTCCGATAAAACAGGCAGCGTGTCAATAATACAAGGATTAATCCAAATGCAGTCCGATAAAGCAGGCAAAGTCCAGTAACGCAGAGATCATGGAGTATTTCCAGTTGTTGCTCGTCACAAACTGAACCGGCCACCAAAGCCACATTTATACCCTGTGGGGTGTGGTCCAGTGACTCAGCTAATCTCTGGCACGCCTTCCCCTCTGCTGTGCATGCTTCTCCCTGCGCCTCTGTCGAGGGTCCAGCCAGCACTTATCTTCCTCATCGCTGTCCACCTGTGGCTGCGGGGACATGCTTGGCTCTGAGCCTATTGTTTGGCCTTCGGTGTCCTCCGGAGGCATTGCCAGAGAGGAGGGTCCTGGAGAGGGAGGCCTTGCCAACTCCTCTCCCTCACTCTCAGAGTCTGCATCTGTTGATAGCCCAGGCTCAGGCAATGGAGCCACAACAAATACTACCTCTCCCCCATCTATTCTCTGCCTCCCAGCTGATCGGAAGGGAATGGAGATTTTACAGTATCTTTCCCCTGTCACGCCCACCAAGACACGCCCACCAAGCCACACCCACTGATTCGGTAGTAAAAAAATTTGAATCCCACCACTGGACTAGAACTCATTGCAATCTGGTGATTGGCTCAGTCACCCAGCTGGCTTTTATGATTAAGGTGGGACTAGACTCACTGCTTCCCAGTGATTGGCCCAAAGTCATCTGGCTGTCGTGCCAAAGGCGGGACTAGAACTCACTGTTTCCTGGAGATTGGCCCAAAGTCACTTGACTTTCATGCCTAAGGTGAGGCTAGAACTCACCACCTGCTGGTGGTGATTGGCCCAAAGCAGTGGTGAAATGTAAAATTTGTTGCTACCGGTTCTGTGGGCGTGGTTTGGGGGGGGGTCATGTGACTGGGTGGGCATGGCCAACTTTTTTTTTACTTTTTTAAAGCAATTTTTTACTACCAATTCGCCCGAACAGGTAGTAAAAAAATACTTTAAAAAAGTAACAAAAAAGATTGCGCAGCACAGCTGATTGACAATTGACAATCATGATTGACAATCAGCTGTGCCGCATGATCCTCAGAACTTTTTTTAACTTTTTTAAAGCATTTTTTTACTACCGATTCGCCCGAACCAGTAGTTTTTATCACTACCAGTTTGCCCGAACCGGAGTGAACCAATAGCATTTCATCTCTGGCCCAAAGTCACCTGGCTTTCATGCCTAAGGCGGGACTATAACTCACTGCTTCCTGTTTTCCAGGCTGGTGCCTTTACCACTAGACTCACTTATATTCCTGGAATATAATAAAGACAGTATACCCAGTATATGTTTCTACTTGAATTATTGTCTGAGTGCCAAGTTGGGTAAAGCTGTTCCAATCGCTTCATTTTACAGTTGATATTTTCTCATTTCTCAAGAGAACTTGCTCATCTTTTTGCGATATAGAAAAATAATATTCATAATTGTTTTGAAAATATATAAATATAATATTTAACCCTTGATAATACTTTCTACCTTACTGTGTGAATCCTACTTTATTAAGGATTTATCCAGTAATGGAAACTGTCCGCCATCCTCTGCAGCGATTGAGAAACGGATGCAATAAACCAAACTCCACATCGTAAATGACTAACAAATTAATATTATCGAACACCTGGCCCATCCAGATGTTGATGGCCTCTCCTCCACTCCTCCTTCCCAGCCATCGATATTAATATCAATTACGGCCGTCGCTATCAAATGCATTGGAAGAACATCAGGTGATGGGGGGAGGAATCGTAGCAATTAGACGCAGCACCGACAGACAAAAATCATCCGGGACAGCTTTAAAATAGCATTTACATAAACATCTATTCATCGTGATGATTAGATATGCTATCCAGAGGGTGGATGGTTCTGGATATCGGTCACTTGAGAACTTGTGGATGTCTTTCTATCTAGCTTCTGAAAATCTCTTGAAATTCCACAGACTTAGACAGGCTTTTGATTTGACCTACCGCAGCAATATTTTTTTAATGTCCCTATGAATAATCTTATCATTAAGGCTTCGTGCCAGCAGGTGCCACAGGTTTAAAAAAAAAATTAATTTATCTAATGGGGAAATTAATTGGCACGTCCAATCTGTTGACATCTGCTAGGGCCCCCTGTTTTTTCTCAGGCATTACTCACTCTGACACTCTCCTCCGAGTTGGTAAAATCCCACGGGGCAGTCTGGCACGCAGCGGTCCTTCAGGAGCAGGTGATGGATGTCACGGCACCTGAGACAGGTGCTTCCTCTGTCGGTGTGGAGATCTGCCACGCACAACTCACAAAGCGGATGGCAACCTGGTTCATAGAGGACAGGAAGTTTGGTACAATTCATTAACAAGCCAGCTTTCTGATTGGTCAAAACAGAATCATCAAGGTGTAACTGTGACCTTTCTTTCTTTCTTTCTTTCTTTCTTTCTTTCTTTTTCTCTCCTTCCTTCCTTCTTTCTCTTTCTTCCTTCTTTCCTTTCCCTCCTTCCTTTCTCTTTCTCCTTCCTTCCTTTCTCCCTTCTCTCTCTTTCTCTTCTTTCTTCTTTCCTTTCCTTCCTTCCTTTCTCTCCTCCCTTCCTCCCTCCCTTCCTTTTTTCCTTCTCTCTTTCTTTCTTTCTTCTTTCTTTTCCTTTCCTTCCTTTCACTCTCCTTCCTTCCTTCCTTCCTCCTTCCTTTCTCCCTTCTCTCTCTCTCTTTCTCTTCTTTCTTTCTTCTTTCATGGCTAAGGCAGGACTTGAACTCGCAACCTCCTGCTTTGTAGGCAAGTGCCTTAACCACCAGACCAAACTAGCTCTCAGTATATGAGAAAATAACATTGAATAACTTTTAATAATAAGTTTTTTAAAAAAGAGACGCCAGTGGAAAAATTAGCCTATTTGTGCAAGATTGATCAATTAAGCTAATCTATACATTTATTTATGATTGATTGATTGACCTGGTGCCATTAAACTGATGTTATCTCTTATGAGCACAGAGATAGATTTTCTTGATGACGATCTGTCCCTAACTTGGTCCTTCAAGCCTTACAATTCTCTGATGCATTAATTAATTGGCCAATTAATTAATTAACTAATCTTGCAAAAAACAAAACAAAACACTACTCATCATTGGGTTATTAGAGTAACCCCAAATCATTGGACTATGGTGTTGGTTCTTTCATTTAGTTGGTACACAGAATGTTAGCAACTGTCACTACAGATGGTTCTTAACTTGCGACTACAGGGAGTCCTGGACTTACGACCAACATTGAGCGCAAAATTCCTGTTGGTAAGTCAAACGTTTGTTAAGTGAGTTTTTCCCCATTTTACGACCTTGCCATTGTCGTTAAGTGAATCACTGCAGTTAAGTGAGTAAAATGGTTGTTAAGTGAATCCGGCTTCCCCGTTGACTTTGCTTGTCAGAAGGTCGTAAAAGGGGATCACGTGACCTCAGGACACTGCCACCGTCATAAATACGAGACAGTTGCCCAGCATCTAAAATTTGATCACATGACTACGGGGATGCTGCAAGCGTGAAAACTGATCCCAAGTCACTTTTTTCAGTACCGTTGTAACTTCAAACGGTCACTAAATGGACCGTTGTAAATCAAGAACCACCTGTATTATTATTGTTTGCTGTCGCTTTATGGTAATTGCCAATTTGCAAAGCAAGTTAAAGCAGCACCTACAAACTGAAAAATGCAGCCGAAAACTAAACACATAGGGGGGGAAAAAAACAACAAGAAAAAGGAATAAAATATTAATCTGAAATAAAATATTAATAAAAACGAAAGCCCGAGACGTCCCATCGGAGAACTACAAAAGGAATTAAAATATTTACATCTCAGAGGCATGTTCACAAATTGTCCTGGCCCAGGGACTGCCACAATAACCAGCTGTTCAAGATTTTCCTACGTGACAGCAAGTGGGTCAGTGGTGAAATCCAAATTTTTTTACTACCAGTTCTGTGGGCGTGGCTTGGTGGGTGTGGCAAGGGAAGGATACTACAAAATCTCCATTCCCTCTGCACTCCAGAGGAAGGATATTGCAAAATCTCTATTCCCACCTCACTCTGGGGCTAGTCAGAGGTGGTATTTGCTGATTCTCCGAACTACTCAAAATTTCCACGACCGGTTCTCCAAACTACTCAAAATTTCCATTACCGGTTCTCCATACTACTCAAAATTTCTGCTACCGGTTCTCCATACTACTCAAAATTTTCCACTACCGGTCTCCATACTACTACTACTCAAAATTTCTGCTACCGGTTCTCCGAACTACTCAAAATTTCCACTACCAGTTCTCCAAACTACTCAAAATTTCCACTACCGGTTCTCCGAACTATTCAAAATTTCTGCTACCGGTTCTCCAGAACCTGTCAGAATCTGCTGGATTTCACCCCTGGGTTGGGTTCACATGGACTTTGGGGGGAGCTGCAGTTCCAGAGGGACAGCTCTTTTTATTGATCTGCATCCTAAAGGAGACGGGAGTCTACTCATAAATAAGATAACAATTGGAAGGGGCCACTGAGTCAATGAGAGCAACTATCGCCTAGTGGTTAAAGCACCAGGCTACAAACCGGATGCTAATTTTACATCTGGCTCGCCGAACCGGTAGTTGCAAGGACTGGATGGCTCTGTCCACCCCGCCCCTCCCAGAAGTCTCCACGCGGCCCGTTTTGGATGCCAGGTAAATGCAGCTCCCACACGAAGGCTTGGGGGGGAGGCGAAAAACAGGCCTCCCGGAAGTTCCAGAAGTCCTCTGAAGGAAGGGCCTCCGGAGCCTAGGGGAAGCCATTTTCACCCTCCCACAAGCTCTAGGAGCCTCCAGAGCCTGGGGAGGGTGAAAAACAGGCCTCCTGGAAGTTCCAGAAGTCCAGAAACGGGCCCGTTTCTTGCCTGTGGAGGGTCTCCAGAGCCCAGGGGAGGCTGTGTTCACCCTCCCGGAGACTCAAGCAAAGTCTACAGAGCTTGGGGAGGGTGAAAACGCTCCCCCCGCCCACTGTGGTGTAGGAGGCCAAGTAGGCTACGCCCACCATGGCCACGCCTACCCAGCAACCGGACAGAGAACCGGTTGCTAAAATTTTTGAATCCTACCCCTGGGAAACAGTGAGTTCTAATCCCACTTGAGAGGCAGGAAAGCCAGCTAGGTGACTTTGGGCCAATCACCAGGAGACTGTGAGTTCTAGTCCTACTTTGGGCATAAAAACCAGCTGGGAGAGTTTGGGCCAATCACCAGGAGACTGTGAGTTCTAGTCCTACCTTAGGCATAAAAACCAGCTGGGAGAGTTTGGGCCAATCACCAGGAGACTGTGAGTTCTAGTCCTACCTTAGGCATAAAAACCAGCTGGGAGAGTTTGAGCCAATCACCAGGAGACTGTGAGTTCTAGTCTCACCTTAGGCAGAACCCCTCACATCCTGGACATAAACTATTTCAACTTCTTCCCTCAAGACAATGCTATGGGGTATTGCATGCCAAAACAACTAGCCATAAGGACAAGTCCTTCCCCCATGCCATCACTCTGCTAAACAACTAATTCTCACAACACTCTCTTACGCCCTGGGTTATCAAACCACCTAGTAGGACTGTATTACTATCATCCTTCTCATCTTTCCTGTTACCTTTTTCCTTGGTTTCTTATGACTGTACTTAGAAAGGAGACTATTTGTAGCTCAAGGTTGAAATGAGGGGTCCTTGGTGATCTCTGAGCTTGCTTGTTTTCTTCCAGACGTTTCATTACCAAACTAGGTAACATCATCAGTGCTAAGGTAATGAAGCATCTGGAAGAAAACAAGCAAGCTCAGCGAGCACCAAGGACCCCTCTATACGACTATAACTTTGTGGTTTGTATTTCATGATCTGTGTTGATTGCTTTTATTTAATATCCTATTATGATTCATGTTGATTGCTTATTTAGTATCCTAGGACTATCACTGAATGTTGTTTCTTATGATTTGTGATGATTATATTTTATGATTGTGATCAGGATTTATCACTTGTTGCTTGTAAGTACACCGAAAGCTTATGCAATTGAGACAAATTCCTTGTGTGTCCAATCACACTTGGCCAATAAAGAATTCTATTCTATTCTATTCTATTCTATTCTATTCTATTCTATTCTATTCTATTCTATTCTATTCTATTCTATCCTATCCTATCCTTTTTTTTTTTTATTTATTTATTTATTTATTTATTTATTTATTTATTTATTTATTTATTTATTTCTTTCATGTATTTATATGCCGCCCTTCTCCAGAAGGACTCAGGGCGGCGAACACAAATTAAAAACATGTACAACAAAATCCCATTTTAAACCAAATTAACTAATAAATAATAAATAATAAAACCCAGAATCAGAGTCAGCCTATTTGCTTGAACAGTCAAGTCTTCTATTCTATTCATATTCTATTTTATGCTGTTCCATTTTAATTTTCTATTCTATATTCTATTCTAATCTAATTTTCTACTATATTCTATCCAGGGATGGGCTTCATAAATTTTAGCAAGGGGTTCTCTGCCCGGTAACTGGGTCGGCATGGCAATGGTGGGAGTGGCCTAGTCAGCCTCCTGCACCACGGCGGGCGGGGGGAGGTTGCCCTCCCTGGGCTCCGGAGGCTTTCCTTGAGCCTCCGGGAGGGCGAAAATGGCCTCCCCAGGCACCGGAGGCCCTCTGGAGGCCAGAAACGGGCTGAACGTCCGGTAGGCCCGTTTTTTGCCCTCCCCGAGCCTCTGCGCGCGCCCCGCACTTACCTGCATCCAAAACGGGCCACATGGGGACTCCTGGGAAGGGAAGGATGGGTAGGGCCAGCCAGGAGTGAGATTTGGGGGTTCTCCGAACTGCGTAGAATCTTAGCTAGAGGATCTCCCAAATCCCTTCGAACCCCCAGCAGCCCACCCCTGATTCTATCCTAATTTTCTATTCTATTCTATATTGTATTCTATTCTAATTTTCTATTCTATTCTATATTGTATTCTATTCTAATTTTCTATTCTATTCTATATTGTATTCTATTCTAATTTTCTATTCTATTCTATTCTATTCCACGCCACCCCACGCCACGCCATTCCTGAATGCAATTCTATCACCTCTCCCATCAGGCTGTGTTTCAGTGAATCAAATCCTTCCCTGCTTCCTTCTCTAACAAGCGTAAGGAAATAGTTCGCCGGGAGAGTGATAGCAAAATTTTCCTTTTGCCCGAGGCATTTCACCGATTGGAACTACCCTTCAAAACATGACAGTTGCCCAACAGGGGCCCGAATATTAGCATCGCAGACTCAACATTGCAAGGACCGAGTTAGCTCTCACCTCCAATCCCCTGCTCAATAAAG